AGAATGGCTGGGGGAACCACTGGGTCTTAATGTCCTTCCCCCCACCTCTTCCTCTCCCTGCAGCTTTGCTTCCTCAGGAGAATCTAGTTCACTGAAAAGTGACCACGCCTGCCGGAGCTATTCGCAGCACACTCTGGGAATAGAGCCAGTCGCGTGGCTATGAAACCATTTAACAGGCATTTGCCAGTCCTAGGTACATACTGTCAGTTTCGGAGGCTCTGTCTACACTGGGCAGGTTGGGCGACCCAAGTGCTGGCGACATGCAAAAGTTGCCAAAAGTGAAAACCGGTCAAACCCGTTTTTCTGCCGCCCATTGTCAACATGTCATGGCCACGTGGCTAGCACCCTGCCTAAGGGCCTCGTGTAGACCGGGCCTTAGAGTCAGGCGTTTAGGGGCGGGGAGTCAAATTACTGGCCTTGGTGGAACATGTTGCTCAGTTCTGTTCTTGGTTGGCTCTCCCCCGCTCTGTAGGTGAGAGATTTGGAGGAAATGCCCCTCTCCGGGTGAACTGGGGGTCCTGAACTCACCCCCCTGCCAAATCAGTGATGCAAATAGAGAAATGAGAGTGGGTGGGCCCCAGCCAACATGGTGGAGCCGAGTCCCCGCTTTCTCTCTGAGTCTGGGGCTGGCATGCCTGCAGGGCAGCACAGATCACAAAACACTGAGCAGAGCCATCAGGCCAGGCATTGTGGAATGCTGGCGGAAGCCTGTTCTCTCGACAAAACAAGCAACGGAGCCCACACTGATTCCTTGTCAACAATAACAGGAGGGGAAAGACAAAAGTATCTCGCAGGGCTTGACATTTTTTGTCACCAAAACTGGGTGTTTCTCCCGATAAAAGTCGCATCGCGGTGTAAACGTGCTCGCTGTTTTGTCTCCAAAAGGCAGTGTCTGGCAACAGTAGATAAGCCTTGAACATACTTTGTTAGCTGACAGGACTGTAGCTTAAAATCTGCTTTAAAAACATTTCATTGGTGTGTTGCTGAAGATTATAAAATCACAGCTCTAAAAAATCGTCACCCCGCCGCCCCGGGGGCCATCGAACACAGAGGCCCCAGTTTCATAGAACTGCGTGGGGCCCCATATAGCCTACGGACGGCCCTGCGCGCCATGAACCCCATTGCGTAGCTGGGGGGCTGAGGCCCAGATCCACATGGGTGTTTTGGCGCCAAACGACCACTGATGCCAGTGAAATCCGTGGGTGCCAGATCGTGGCTGTCCTTGTGGCTCTGAGCCGACGTGACCTGCCCTAGGAGTCGGTGACTGAGCAGGGAACCGCGGCCCAAGCCAGCGCAGAGGCCGCAGCGGGCTGAGGCAGGTCAGTCTGGCCGGCCGCTCTTACCTGCTGGCCGTGAGTTTCAGCTGCACGCGGTTGAGAAGGAAAGAGCAGCTGAACTCAAACTCCAGCAGGAACGCCACCTGGGGGAAAGCAGAGCTGTCAGCCCAGCCCCTCGCCCGGCTCTGCAGTAACCCCGTGGGGGCCATGCCTGGCCCAGGGGCGAGCAGGGAGCTGGGTGACGATGCTGGGGGACTGAGGGGGGAGGAGGTCCCATTTTCAGCAGCACCTGCAGACTCCAAGGCACCAGCTCTCTGCACAATGGCTCTGCAGTGGCGTGTCGGAGAGCGGTAGCAGGGGGCAGAGCACGTTGTTAGGTCTGATTCTCCCTCCCCCCCAGTTCCCACTGCTTCTCCGGCCAAGGCGTGCACCTCTGCTTCCCAATAGCACCGGCCACTTCCCTTTTGATGCCCGACGGGCGGCTAGGGTCCCGAGGACAGCGTCTCCCCTCACCCACCAAATCCCCCTGCAGCAGCCTGGAGGGGCGAAGATAAAGGACTGGGCTAGCAGGAGAGCAGGGGCTGTAGAGGGATTATGGGGCATGGGCAGAGCTGGCGGGGGAGGTGGAGCCCAGGCTGGAAGAGCAGGAGGCTGTGGGGGGCACTGAGGGGCATGGGCAGAGCTGGCGGGGGAGGTGGAGCCCAGATTATGGGGCATGGGCAGAGCTGGCGGGGGAGGTGGAGCCCAGGCTGGAAGAGCAGGAGGCTGTGGGGGGCACTGAGGGGCATGGGCAGAGCAGGCAGGGGGAGGTGGAGCCCAGGAGGAAGAGCAGGAGGCTGTGGGGGGCACTGAGGGGCATGGGCAGAGCTGGCGGGGGAGGTGGAGCCCAGGCTGGAAGAGCAGGAGGCTGTGGGGGGCACTGAGGGGCATGGGCAGAGCTGGCGGGGGAGGTGGAGCCCAGGCTGGAAGAGCAGGAGGCTGTGGGGGGCACTGAGGGGCATGGGCAGAGCTGGCGGGGGAGGTGGAGCCCAGGCTGGAAGAGCAGGAGGCTGTGGGGGGCACTGAGGGGCATGGGCAGAGCTGGCGGGGGAGGTGGAGCCCAGGCTGGAAGAGCAGGAGGCTGTGGGGGGCACTGAGGGGCATGGGCAGAGCTGGCGGGGGAGGTGGAGCCCAGGCTGGAAGAGCAGGAGGCTGTGGGGGGCACTGAGGGGCATGGGCAGAGCTGGCGGGGGAGGTGGAGCCCAGGCTGGAAGAGCAGGAGGCTGTGGGGGGCACTGAGGGGCATGGGCAGAGCTGGCGGGGGAGGTGGAGCCCAGGCTGGAAGAGCAGGAGGCTGTGGGGGGCACTGAGGGGCATGGGCAGAGCTGGCGGGGGAGGTGGAGCCCAGGCTGGAAGAGCAGGAGGCTGTGGGGGGCACTGAGGGGCATGGGCAGAGCTGGCGGGGGAGGTGGAGCCCAGGCTGGAAGAGCAGGAGGCTGTGGGGGGCACTGAGGGGCATGGGCAGAGCTGGCGGGGGAGGTGGAGCCCAGGCTGGAAGAGCAGGAGGCTGTGGGGGGCACTGAGGGGCATGGGCAGAGCTGGCGGGGGAGGTGGAGCCCAGGCTGGAAGAGCAGGAGGCTGTGGGGGGCACTGAGGGGCATGGGCAGAGCTGGCGGGGGAGGTGGAGCCCAGGCTGGAAGAGCAGGAGGCTGTGGGGGGCACTGAGGGGCATGGGCAGAGCTGGCGGGGGAGGTGGAGCCCAGGCTGGAAGAGCAGGAGGCTGTGGGGGGCACTGACGGGTGAAAGTCACATTTCTTACCGACACTGTCCTATTGCAACCCCCCCAGGGGCTGTGATAGGACAGTACCGGTAAGAAATGCAAGTGTGGGATGGTTTGCAGGGGGGGCACAGGGCAGGGGGCTGTGGTGCGGGAGTGCTGGAGTCAAGACAGGTGGGGCAGGTACAGGAGGCAGGGAAGGGGTTGTGGGAAGAGCTCCGGACGGGTTTGGGGCGGGGAAGGGAGCTCGGGACAGCGGAGCCCATGTTCCCCAGCTGCCCAAGGAATGGAGCTGGAGCCTGGTAGTGCCCCGGCTTCCTTTCCTCTTTGCCCTCTGACCTCGCATGGGCCGGAGGCCTGTTCCAAGCGGGGAGGATCCGTGCTCCAGCTCAGGCTGGCTCTGTGACA